AGTTGGAATATAATCGAGTGGCATTACGAATTGAACATTCTCTATGGTAAAATACATTTAGGAATAAAAAGAAAGTTTGAAGGTTATTTATCAAGACAGAAATTGTTTGGACATAACTGTCAGTAAGTTACGTTATGTAAGCTACGTTGACAATATCTTTCATTTTCAAATTTTATCTGTGAACAATTTGTGATTTCGGAATCATGAGTTTATCCCAAACCGTCCTACGTTTCATCTCATATTATGTGTGCATCATTTCCGCCTGACTGAAGATTAAGGGTGTCCAAGTTCAAATTATACTTGAATTATTCCACTGATTTAACGACGAAAATAAAGGTAAATATCTTAACTCTAAGATATAAAACTAATATAAGAGTTAATGAATAATGTATTCATTTAATTAATGACCAATTATGATACATTGGACTGTGAAAATCACTGTGATGTGGCACCCACGTGGTGTGGATGCAACATTCAAGGACGAATCAAAGTGGTTTTTTTTTTTCGTTTAATTACACAAAGTTTGCGATGATATTTCAATCAACTGAGATATATACAAACAAATACCAGTGTATACGTTGATTGATACGTTCTTTATTTATATGAAATCGAACGCATTATAAGATATTTATAAATATTTGTAGTCATTTGTTTCAATGAAATATTACATAACGTAGCTTACTTAAAAAGCATCAAATAAATTTTGATGAAGGATTTTTTTGTTTACAATATTGTATGCCGGATTTTTCTTTTGTTCCCCTTTTTAAAATCGATTGAACAAATATTTAGATACAGAAAAGGATGTTGACCTGGACTCTATTGTGAACAAGACCGTTACAATAATAGATAACGTAGATTACATAAAATATAACGTAGATTACAAAACAAGTATTTGTTCTTTTAGGCATGCCAAAGTCAAAAGCGGAAATACAGAAGGCGTACCGGGAAAGAAAAAAACTTCAGGAGGGAGAAGAATACTTACAAAAAGAACGAGACCGAGTAAAAGGCTATTATGTACCCATATCAGAAAGACCCAAGAAACAACAAAAAACAAGACAAGAAAATGTAAAAAAGTGGGTTAAACTACACAGAGAACGGAAAAAGAAACAAAAGGACAATGTGTCCACTCTTCAAAGTCAAGCTCAAAACAATGATGACAAGGATCAATGTGATGAAATCAGTTCAACATCCGACACATTGCCAAACAATGACTTGCTGATAGTCAGACTTCCCTGTCAACAACCTAAAAAAAGAACACGCACACGGATAAGTAGGGCCGTTTCAAAATCCAGACGAGAAATTAAAAAACTAACGGATCAGAACAAAACCATAGAACGGAAATATAAAAGAGTATCAAAGAGGTTAGAGCGTCTAATGAAAAAGTCTCAGCCACAGACAGTTATTGGCAGCAACACTAGTTGTACCAACGATGACACTACGGAAACCAATACAGGTATTACAGTTAATGCTGATGTCCACATGTCCGCCGCAATGACTCCCCGAAAAAGAACATACACAGAACTGAGAGCTGAAGGTGTCACACCAAGTAAATTACCAAAGGTTGTCACAGAACAATTAGTGTTTGCAAATGTGCTAGTAGAAGAAATTAAAGATGCCTGGAAGAAAAACAACACAGATGGAAAGACCATTATTTCTAATGTAGTTTCTGGAAAGTTGCTGGAAAGGTATCGTTTGAAAAGTAAACTGAGCATAAAGGCAGGAATAAGGCGTCATAACTTTAAAACTAAAACAAAACAATGTAATGGAATTGTAAAGAAAATGCGAAACTTCAGGAGAAGGGAACAATTACGTAAACATGTACATAACTTCCTGGAGAAAGATGAGAACAGCAGGATGATGCCAGGGAAGAATGACAAGGTCAAAAACTACGAAAGGTAATTACGTACAGAAACGAGTTTTGAATGATAGTTTGGTTTATCTGCACATAAAATATAAACTAGAAAACACAAGTAACATTTCTTTCTCCACATTCTGCAAACTTAGGCCGAAACATATTGCATTGACTAAATATCTAAGTAGGAACAAATGCCTCTGTCAGAAGCACCAAAATATGGCTTTGGCATTAAAATCAATTAAGAATGCAGGCGCAAACATACCGATAAACCCGGACGATTTCATAAGGCAATTGAAAGACAAAAATGTAGACGATTTTCTTGGTGATATTAAAGATCAAGAGGTGTCGTATGCACAATGGAAAAGAGTTGAAATGCAAGATGGAAAAACAAAAACAAAAATTGTCGAAACAAAAATCAGTACGAATGATTTCATAGCAATTGCAAAAAAGCAAATTTGTGAATTTCAGCAACACGTACAACGAGTGAAAACACAATATAAGGCCATCAATGAGCTCAAAGAAAATCTTCCTTCAGGTCAAGCAATAGTTCAAATGGACTTTGCGGAAAATTTTAGTTGCAATTCAGCAGATGAGGTACAGAGTGCATATTGGAACAGCACATCAGTTACACTCCACCCCGTTGTAGCTTATTTTAAATGTGATGCGGGATCTCTTAAACACAAGAACTTTGTGTATGTTTCAGACGATTTGGGACATAACTTTGGAGCAGTTCTTGCCTTTCTCAAACAGTTGGTACCGGATTTGAAACGTGAGGTAGCTAACCTTGAATGGATTCACTATTGGACAGATAGTCCAAGCTCGCAATATCGGAATAAGTCAGCGTTCTATGTAGTATCAGATCACAAGAATCTGTTTGGTGTGAATGGGGCCTGGAATTATTTTGAAACGGGGCACGGGAAAGGCCCATGCGACGGGATTGGAGGGACATCCAAACGCACAGCGGACCTTGCCATCAAACAAGGGAAAATTACTGTTCAGGATGCAGAAGAATTCTTCCAAAATGTACAGAAATTACACACGAGTGCAGAATATCGTTATGTATCCTCCACAGAAATGAAAGTTGTACGGTCAGAACTAGTAGAACTTAACAAGTCGTTGGTGCCAGTTAAAGGTACTATGCAGATCCATCAAGTTTTGCCTTCATCTGAAGGAAAGGTGAAAACATTTATAACATCATGCTATTGTTCTGAATGTCTTAAGGGCAATGTCCATAATTACTCTGAGGTGGTTATCCGTAAACCCATCACAACTAACAACACCAATCAGCAAAATCAAAGCCCGATTAGCGAGATTAGTAGCACAAACGAGAGTGTAGCTGAAGAAACAGTCAGCATCGAAATAAACGAGCAAAATCTACAAGTTATTAAGGAGGTACATAGCACAATTGAGGCCGTTGACCAATCTGTAGAAATAAGGCAGGATTTTGATGGTGGAAATACCATAACTCAAGCAGAGGAAATTGTAAACAAAGACGACTGGGTTGCCGTGCTATATGATAAAGAATGGTATGTCGGAAAGGTACTCAAAGATATTGACGAGGATGGTGAACTCGAAGTGTTGTTTCTTAGGTCGACTAAATCATTCGCGGACAAAACAGACTTGTACAAGTGGCCGGCATCAGTAGACATCTTGAATGTAAAGCGGAGAGACATTTTCTTCAAAATAAAGAAACTAGAACCTGTAGGCCGCAGCGGGAGAAGTTATCGCTTATCGTCGGACGATTCTGAGGAAATCAGAAGGCTTTTTAAGAATTTGTGAGTGTGTTATGATAGAAACGAACAGTGTTTGAAGTGTGTTAGTTACGTTATCCAATAATTATGAGTTATTTTATAAATGTTAGATAGATATCATATAATCTACAGTTGTTTATTTGTACAGTATACTACCTTTGTGTTAATGTTGGTTGGTTTAATTCAGTCAATGTGTACAAATTATTGTACTGTAATCTACGTTATTGAATCTCAGTTGCGTTGATACAAGTTTAATCCCTGAGTAAAAAGTTGTTTATTTGTTTTTGAATTATGTTATATGATTGTTGTACATACGTTTTATGGTTTGGGAATTATTCTCGTTAAAAGCAATGTTTAAAATTGGTTTAAATAACATTTGATGCGCGCAAATGGTATTTTTGAGAAAAAATATGTATTTTTTCAAGTATAACGACTAAGTTTACTCTTTTTAATACACTGGAGAATGTACTTTACTTCTTTATTCGTTATCTGCTGCATTAATGTTCATGTCAAAAACATAATTTTAATTTAATTATTTGAAACCATCAATATAATCTACGTTATGAACAATGTAATTTACGTTATCAGGAATCAATTTTGTATATAAAATAACGTTCTATGTAAACACTAACAAGACAACAAGGATGTTATCTAATGATATCCATTGCATCTTATTATCGAGATAAACATTCCCTTTGTAAACGTAGAAGGTTATATACAACAAAGTTACGTTGACATTATGAGGAACAACTGTCACAATTTGTATAATCATTCGTTGGTGCCTGATGGATAAAATATAACTATGTTCATCAGATGAAAACGTATTTTATTTCATAATGCATATATCAAATAATCATCCAATACAATAATGCTTAGCAAATTCCTTAATATGACTATATTTACAACCGCCATTGATATTATACCTAAATGTCTCGTAGATTACATAGAACATTTCAGTCTCGATATTAAACTGTGTGTAATTTTGTTATCTGTAAAGCCTGAGTTATGAAATTTCACAGAAATATTTTCTCGAGTGTAAGTTTTCATATTAAAATGTTTTGAATTATAATGTTGTTTGTTCCTTTTTTTCCAATACCTCGTATCATTTGGACAGTTTAATGGAGAATAGGTGTATGGTGATAGATAGACGAAATGGTTGGAGAATGTTTGAAATGATTAATTACTTTTTATGCAATTAACTTTCATATTCATGTTTATTTTCAAAAACATATGAAAATATGGAGAAATTGCATATATGTGGATTATTTCCTTGTCTAAATACCTGCATACAACCTTCTTGTTTCGTAGATTTATTATCTCCCTTCCTACAAAATCCATTCAGTACTCCTCGGATATGGTCCATGATAAAATAGATGGACTGAAAAAGTGGGAAAATGAAGAAGGTTGAAAGTACGGAAAGTGTGTGTATTCGTCATTTATGGGAACACAAGACAACATTCCGATTTAACACCCTTTGTTTAGGTACACTTTTCAGGTAAAGTACCCGCGGAATTCGTATATTCACCTTATAGATCGTACTTAAGTCAGTGGTGTTGTTGTGTATACCGGGGCAGAATTGACATTATCATGGCATAAAGGGTTACTGTCAGCAGACTGTAGGTCTGCTGCCTCCTAGCGGGCAACAGGGTACTCGTCATCAACACGAGACAAGCTATGCTAAAGTACAAAATTGTCTTTCGTTCAGAAATGTGAAACTGTATCGGAGTATCTGGTAGATTGAAGGTAAGTCCCGGTTATTGAGCGAAGGGAGACAAATCTTGCAATGGATCTTGCAAGACTTGAAAACTGAATGTTTCTGTAAGTCTTATACCTTGATCTTATGACACCAGCAATGTGAAAAAATAACAACAAAAAAAATACAAATGAAAAAAGCAGTTTGAAGACCGTATTTAATGTATCATTTTGTGAAAAAGTATACAGGAGTTGTTTTCTGATGTAAATACAGTGTAAAATATACACACATGGCTGAAATGAATTCTGCTTGTACCTGGTAATAACCTCCCGATCCTTCAACAGGTTGTAGATTGTGCTATACATTGTATGTACACTTGGTGCAAGATGAAAGGTTAACTTGTAGGAGTTTCTATCAGGATAAAAGTCTTCAGAGTTGTAACACACCAGTCTTAAAGGCACTTGATGTGTCAGCATTAATTGGTGATGTCTGTCAGTAGGGCTTTCCAATCTCTCATGTTCTGGGGGAAGATGTAAACCTTCCTGGCATCAGTCTGACTTGTTAGAATGTGATATGGCCTGGCATACATGGTTCTGCCAAGCTTACATGGTTTGTTAATCGCAAATAGTCCTCTATCAGTCTTAAACAACATGGACAGCAGGGCCTCTTGTACCGAGAGATTTCCACCCAAGTTGGAGGCATGACTATGGTGATAGGTAACGTATCATGTTATAGGTGTCTGGATATTCACTGAGGCTGATGTCATTTTGGGTGTAGGAGTCCCAGACTGAACCGTTTTGCTCCAGAAGAGGTCCTACAAGTCCAAAGTATGCCAGGGATTTGAATTTTACACTTATTATGACTGCAGTCAAACTGTTAGCACAATAGAGATCACTAATACAGAGGCACTCCAGGACTGCATTTAAAACTAGGCATTATACAAGATGTTTTGAATTTGAGTATCTGTCCAATACAGAGGCAGGTAAGAAAAATACTTCAGTCTAAAGATAGACTCACTCACCTGTGTATTATTGAAACAATTTGCCCCTCAATGTGTTATGTAGATAGGGTTTATACAGTCCCCAAGTACTTATAAGTGTTGCTTACTTTTGCCTTTTGTATATTTAGACAGAGTGGACTTACACTTGCCCTTGGAGGTGAAGATGGCATCGTCAGACTTTTTGACCTCTCTGGAACCTCTGATGAAGGATTCAAATCTCAGCAGGTAAGAAAAAAAGTTTATAATGTATTAAAACTGCTTTTATTCAGACTTACTCTTTATGATTCTGACAAAACAGGTATGAAATCCTGATGTCTGTGTAATCACAACATACAGTATTTGGAAGACAAGAAACTTATACTTAATAATAAGTCCACAAATAAATCTATTACACTGTTAAATAAATAAATGGCTACCAGTATAATGTTATTTCTTGTCCAGCAATAAGCCCACCCTTGAGTCAGTACTTGTATGTTGACACTCTGAGCTTATTGCAGATTAACAGATATTATGTATCATGAATAAGAAATGTAATGAGATGACTTGACAAATGGTACTTGCCCATGGCATTAATATTCATAACAAGATATTTTGATAGACAGTGATTTTTTTTCTTTCCTGTTACACAAATACAAAAATACAGCAACAAACAGTGTGATTCAAAGAAAATATGTACTGCTATATAATTTATAATGCTTAATTTTGATGTTAATCGTTACCATTTTCCAGACAACGTTGGAGACAAAAAGTGGGCCAATTCAGGCGATGGCCATTCATGATGTCACAAAGTTTTATCACAATGATCTGATAGTAGCTGATTCCTGTGGCACAATGACGGTTTTCTGTAGTCGACAAATCCTTTGTCGCCAGAGTGTAGCTGAATCAAGCATCAGCTCGATCCAAGTCGAAAAAGACAAAAGTACAAGATTTTCACATTTATTTGATGAAACGGTCCCTCTTGTAGTAGACTTCCTTGTGAATTTCTATTTCATTTATAGCTGAAATAGTTTTAAATAGATGGTCTTCAAGCTTGATAACATGGGTTTTTTTCATGTATTTATTTGAAACAGTTCTGAAAGCACTTAAAATATTTGCAATAAGGCAAAAAAACGTTTGCAAAATAAACACTGTAAAGAAAAATATTTTTCTTTAAGATTTACAACAACATACCACAAATTGTGATAGAATGTTATATATATACCACAGTATCAACTTGATATCATTAAGAAATTTTGGAAACTACAGATAGACATTTAGTTTTAGAAAGACACGTGTACGCTGTCTGCCGGTAACGTAGAATTACTTTCTACCCAACCAGCAGTTTAAATGTACTGATTAAAATTTGTCTACCCGGATTATCTATTGTGCCCTATACACAATCCATTAAAACTGACATTTATGTTGTGTTTTAGCTGGAAATATTGTGGTAGTGATGAGCACAGAGGCTGGAGTAATTAGTGGAGTGCTGCCCTCTAGCGAGTTGTGGCGGATCAACCTCCATGATTTGGGCACAAATATAGTGAGATTATTTTTTTCAAATCATCATTTTATTATGATTAGTTCTCACAAAAAAATTGTTATTACTCAAATATCTTGTGTGCAGAGTTTCTTATTTCAAATTTTTGAATGATAAACTTAGAATAACATTCTAATGTACCTGTGTTTAATAGATTTAAAATCATTATTTTCATAGGGTTTTGGTTTAAGATTTTTTCTAAATGACTGAGGAACCTCAAATAGACAAAATTAAATTATCTATGTTTGGAATGTGATGGAGAAAATAAGATTTTCTGTGTTTTTAATGAAAGTCTCTTAAAGTTACTTGATTAATTTTGATATTGAGGTCTGACAAGCAACAGCAGGCAGCCGATGAATTATAACTGTTATGATTTGTTAACATTGGATCATTCACTAATTTTGTATGTACGAATCCCTTGGTCCTTAGTTACGCAATGCTCATTAAAGGACAGATCCAAAAAAATATATGGCAAAGAGTTGGCCATATTGGGTTTTGACAGTGCAAGAATGTACCACTTTCTTAAGAAATCTTTCTGAATTTCATTTGCAAGTTGTGCTGTGTCCAGTTTTGGGACTAATCATACAAAAAAAAGCTATTAGGTAGATATGTTTTGACAGGTATGGTTTGTCATCATTTTTTCTTAAGAAATACAGTGTCATTCTGATATTTTATATTTTAAGTTCTTCTTGATCCTTAGTTGTGAATCATCCATTTTTAGACTGATTTGGAAAATAAACAAAACAAAAACAAAAAAAACTACCAAATGACAGCAGGTGGCTATCTTAGAATTTGACCATTACTGTTTTTTATCACTATTTTGCAAAGTGCTGGAGACATTATACACACCATAAATATATTGCGCCATTGGACGCCAATATCCCTCTTTTGTTTTGGAAATGAAATGTAAAACAAAATATTGAAAATACCCCTTTATGTACCCTCCTCATCTTTCATTTTTGAACATACATTATTCACAATTAAAGATGGCAGCAAATTATATTTAATAATTTCATTGGATTAATATGTGTTTTAAAAGATGATAAACCTTGATGTCCTACAAAAACCTCTGTAATAAAGGAAGGTTAGTGTTATGCATTTATAATGGAAATGAATTTATCAGCTAAAGGACTTCTGAATTTCAGGTGATGGTGATCAGTTTAATTTGTATTTCTCGATGTAGTGGTTTACATCAAACAAACTTTTTTTCTCTAGAATTCAAAGCAGACAATATCTGTACGAAGTCTCTTAGCAGCTGAATTGGTCAACCAACATGGCCACAAATCAAGTTACATTATGGCTGCTGATGACAACAATAGCTTGATTATCATCCATCAGGGTGCAGTTGTCTCTGTCCTCAAGACATCATCAGTAATCACTGCTGTAAGTATTCCTTATGTGTGGTTGTGCAGTGGTGTGTCGGTAATTAGTGTATCTGTGTACTCTCTATAAAAGTCCTCTGACAGAAGGAATAGTCCATGTAATATGATATGATTTAATATGATAAAGATGAACATATATAGTGAAGGCAAGTTATGCTAGAATAGAACATATATCATTACCTGGTAGATATGTTTTCCATCATCAGTAAATTCATCAGGATCAAGACATGCATATTGATAAAAAATGTCAAATTACGGCATCTTAGGAGACAAAGGATGAAGTGATATGCAACACATGCCTTGCCCTTCATTCTGGATTTGTCTTTGTGAGGGAGAGGGGATTAGTTTTCGGGAACAGTTTAGTATGTGGTCAGGAGTCAAGAAGAGGCACTTCACTGATTCTGATCGGGTTTGATCAGAAAATGATGTTGACCGATACTTTGAACCGTTCTTTATAATGAATGCAGTTTATTTTTAGTATGTCAAACTTTTACCCTCATAGGTTCTGATCTTTCAATTTTCCCCATTTCACCAACAGATGTGCCAGGGAAGGTTTGTGCCTGAGGACAAACTGCTGCCAATAGGTCTACCTTCTGGAGGAGGACCTGCTACCTCGTCACAAGTAGCTCTCGGGTCAGAAAGTGGAGCAGTGTATATCTTCCACAATTTCAATGTATGTGTACTCATAAAAGTGAGGATTTCAAATATGAAAACATAGGGAGTTGAAAATCTGCTATTTGGGAACGTTTTCTTTAGGTTGGCAATGTAAGTAGAATAGAAAATCTTAATCACAACCAGTAGAAGGTTTGAATGTGATGTTTCATTGACTACACAGTCATCTTCATCAAACAAATGATCAGTGTACGTTAGTGCTAGTACACTTCACACTGGTCACCAGTCTGATAAAGGTGACCATGGTAATCATTGAAATGTCACACTCAAATCTTCTACTGGTTGTTATTATAAGAACTTTTATTCTACAAGAAAAAAAATTTTTTCAGATTTTATATATTGCTTATTTGGGATTTTGAATTGTGAAATATTCCACAATTTAAATTTTAAAAGTATTGAGTTATATGTTTATATGCTTAAAGTATTTTATGTTCCCACCTGAGCTCAAATCTGGCAACTTTGTCACAGTACATGTATTTTTTTACTTGGTCTTCATCCAACAAGATATTTGAACCAGTATGTTCCGAGATGTCTTTCGAGTGAACTCACAGTTAATGATGTTATGGATGATTTTATTTTTAGGTAACAGAAGATGAATATGCTAATACTCAGTATCCAATCACAAATCTACGATCTCTAACAGTTCCAGACAAAGACACCGACCTACTCCTGTGTACTGGTCACTTCAACTCCTTAAATATCTTCTCAGATGGAAAGGTCAGTTTTAACAAAGAGGTAATCCTTTCAGATAATTGTCTAAGATATGTCAGAGAGTGGAATGTGTTGAAGAGGGAAAACTCACCTATTCTACCCCAGTGATTCCAGTTACCATCAATACAATTCTGGTTAAAATTTCTTAAAATCATATTCTGTTTGTCAGGATACAATGTGATAAGTGGAATGTGACATTAAAAGTTGACCTTTTTTCTGGACGTCTAAGCATGAAATGAAACTTTCTAATGTGCCAAACTAATCATTAACACCTGTAAATTTGGCTTTGATTCTATACTATCACAAGGAGGGTAACATGAACATATATCAGCCTCATACATACACGTTTAATACAAACACTTATCCTGTGTACAGAGGAAGACTGTCCTTAAATAAACACCTACCTCTACATAGCTCAGGGAGGGTACACAGCAAGCATGTTGTCTATGTAACTATTTGTCCTTCTTTGTGTGACTTGTTTGCAGCCCTAAACTGTGGTACGAGAATTTAGGTATTTCATGAAAACCTGAAAAAATTTATTGCCTGTCGCAGTGTCATAAACTCAGAATCTTGATTATATTTAGGATGTAATCTTAAAATGTAAAATTTCGGTTTTTATTTCTTTAGTGTTCCATTTTTCTTACCTTACTATGCCATATAAGGTCATTTTTTGGTCCTCTGTTATTCATCAGACACATTACATCATTATATATATCCTGTTGTTTTCTCTATATTATAGAAAGTTGCCCAGCATGCTACACCTGACTGGATAAACTCCCTTGAAGTTGCAGACCTTGATGGTGATGGAACAAAAGAGGTTGTGTTTGGTTGCTTTGACAATAGCGTCCATGCTGTGAAAGTATCGCCAACTTGAACTATGTGCAGTTTGTGATGATGGCGTGAAACAAACCATATTGTGCACTGAGAGCAGGACTCTCAGGTTATAAAGTCATGATAAGATTTGACAGTATCGATCGCTTACACAGCAATCCTGCTTCATATCTGCTGAGGAGCTCATACAAAAGGACCACTCTGATCCGATTGTGTTGTCCAACTGGTCTTGTCACACACACAATTTGATGCTCGATAAGAAAATGAATAGTATTGGAATTGCTTTTGAATTACAAAATAATTAAATTTATTAATGAAACATCCATATTCTTTCATTCATTTCGCCAACATGAACTATGTGCAGTCTGGGATGATGGTGTGAAACAAATCATACTGTACACTTTTTCCATTCGAAAAATCAAGGAGACCAATTTGGCCTGTATTCTCACCTTGATATTTCATCTTTCACATCAAAACATTTTTATTCAGATATGTTGTTGAGTTTTTCCAAATGAAGCATCATTTTTAAAGCTTCAGACCAAATTTGGTCAAAATTCTCTCTGCAGTTAATGATTAATTAATTTTAAGAAAAAGTTGAAGGACACAGTGCCCTGGCAAAAGCTCATTGACCCTTAAGACCAGGTGAGCGGAAGAAAAAAGAAACTAAATCAAATTTTTTTTATATAGAAGAAATTCATTTGACTGAATTATTTAATCTGTCATACATTTCCATGTACAAACAACAAAATATCAGATTCTTTCGCGGAAAAAAGAAGCTGAAATAATGAAACCAAAACAAATTCAAATACAAATGAAAGTACAGATCAATCATACACAAAAAAATACTTATCACAGATTCTATGAACATTCACAGTTGGAACCACATCAAGAAATTCTATACCATGCTCTTGTAATTTCAACTACATTCTATAATTACTCAGGATTTCCATTGTTATGTACTATTCTCATCATTTTAAAAGCAACATGATCAATGTTTTTCTTTTATGAGATAAAAAATAACAAAGCTTAGGAGTAGGAAAACTTCACTTGTTATCTGCTAAGAGTTTGGCCCAGAAAATTCAAAGAATTAAATTGAACCATTTCCTTATGTTAAAGGAGTGCTGAAATGGTTGGTTTCTTGTTTGATCATACCATGAAAAAACAACAAACCTTAACTGTCTATCAACCTTAAAAAATACCCCAATTCATGTTGTTATTCTGCATATATTGACAAAAATCGCTGTCAGAGAGCAAACTCATCCAAATTCATATTTATGCAACTGACAATATATCTACAGGTGACAATGGTGGATGTAGGTAAAACTGCTTTTATATACGGTTAACATGTTTGAACACAGACTGAAAATTGTCATTGCACAAAAAACACAATGTTTGACAGAGTTTACAATACCTATTTCAGTTTTACCCAGGAACACATATACAGACTATTTTCAACTTTAAGCCTACATAACTTTGGGTGAGGGTCTCAGGTTCCTGATATGAAGCTCCGTACTCATGGCAGTTTTGTTTCTCTGGAAAATGAGAAATGGACCTGTGAATGCTGATATGGTTGTGTCCTTGGTAAACACCCTTCACCCTAACTGTTCTGGATGACATGTATTGGACCTCCCCTGTGTTATTCAGTAAAGTAGCAACCGCCAACTACAAGGACACCCGCATCAAAATAATCCTGGTTGTTCATGGGGTAATAAAACTAGTGAACGTACAAACTCAACTGTAAGCAATACTGTCAGAAAACTCATGGCAGTGCCTGCCTAAAATTAGCCATGTACAAGGTTGACACAATAATTAATTGCAAAGTATTAAAGTATTATCATTCAATTTTCCTGTGTACTAATTGAACAGACAGTAAATGCTAATATATTAACATAAAAAATCTGTTTTCCCCATACTCAATCAACATATTGGAGTTCTGCAAACATACATCGGATAAACTTTAACAATTTTTTAATACACAAAAACCATTTGTAATATAGTGATATATATGGAGGTTATCATGATTCCAAATAGTACTTCAGTTGGGCTCTCAAACTAGCATCGGATGACCTTAACAAATATTAATTGTTGTTATCACATTATACATACACATAATAAATACAATGATCGTAAGGTTTTGTTCCTTGATGAGAAATTAAAGTTACTCATAAGTCCTTAGAGAGAAATCACACATTAACTCTCTTATCTTATGCTGTGCCACCTGTATCATTTCAGCCAAACAACCAAAAATTACAGCAATCAATAAATGCCAGAGTTATCTCCTTTACACACTGCCTATGTTACAGTAACATGTACCTCACTAGCATTCACGCTTTGCTTGTGCCAAAATTTCCCTTACATGCAAAAGAAAAACCCTAACAGATTTTACAGGGTAAATGATCTCTCCCATACATCGGTGACTTTTAAAACAATTCCTATTACACAACATAAATCAGTCCATGGTAAATATACGAGATGCTATGTCATCTATCACCCAATCAATGCCCTTTAGTAAGTTGTCCCCCGTTACAGCACTGCATCCCTGTATTAACCAATGATGAGTAGTAATGGAATCAAGTTCTAGTGCCTGAAATTACAAGAAGAATGTTATGTAGAAACTAAAATATTAAGATAATATCAACATAGGCTGCATCTCCTCCAAAGTACATAAAGCAAGACAACTTGACAAATTACAGTCCCTTACAGACACACTGCCTCACCCAGATGAACACACCCCAAATACAAAGTTCCAGTAACAAGCAATGTAGAAGATGGATCCTAGACAATACATTTCTTAGATTTAGATCAAAGGTCAAAACATTGGTCAGGGTGACCTACTTTTGATACATATCTGAATTATTTCAGACTTTAAGCATGTTACCAAGTTATTTTCTACATGAAATATACTATAAGATATTTTCAATCTAATCAACTGGTCGAAAGTTTTCATTTTCATTCTGTAATAGGACAATTCTGAAAATTACGGTCCCCCATCGACACACTACCTTACAAGGTGAACCCATACCACAAGTATCAATTTCCAATGACAAGTTGTGTAAAAGACATGATAGCAGGAAGATGGAAGGACGGACAGACACAAGGCTAAACTATAGCTCCCCTGGTCCACAGTAAGGGACTAAGTAGTTTCAGCTTCAAGAGGGAGTGCATATATGCAGTGACCTCTTCGAACTTAAACCTGGTGGGAATCTTGAATATCAAGTGAAGATCAAAATGTAAGCACATGAAGAACCCAAAATTAATATTTTCTTTAGATTCTTTAGAAAGAGTGGTTACCAGAAATTATATAGATTACAGATGAACAGATCACAGTTAAAAATACAGTAAACAAGTGTACCATCTGATAATGGTGGGCAAAATATTTCAAGATAAACTTTATGATATTTTATTATCTTATATAATTTATGTGGGAACCAAACTACTTTCATCTACTGTATATTCAACTGTTAAAAGGTTTAAATATTTCATTTTCATAGCTCTTTTAGAAAATATATGAACATTTTTACAGAGGAAAAAACTTACATCTTTGATTGAATCCGCTGATAAAGCACCAGGTAAATCTTGTTTATTTGCAAATACAAGTAACGTAGCACCTGCCAATCTCTACAAATAAAGTAAAATTAAAATTTACACAAACTTATACCTAAGGACACAGTTCCACATCAATACAGAAAACATTTTCAAAAAAATATCAATAAAAAATGACAAATGTAAATAGACATCTCAAATAAAACAATCAATGAAAACATTTACTGACACTTAAAACAGTCCACTCTGTCTCTTTTCTACTATTATCATTACAGTATTTTGTTTTCAGAACAGCATACTTGTTAACACCTTACTGAAAACACACCAACAGCCCCTACTAAGTAAGTCACTTGGGAAAGTAAATATTCAAAACTTACATGAAAACAGAGAAATGTTTAAAATCTTACAAGCAAAAAGTAAGGGGCCATTTTCTGATAAATCAATGCTAAAAATACAGGAAAGAATATCTAGGCCATCTTATATAAAATTGAATAAATTTAACATGGAGTCGGAGATTGCATTAAGCTTTTGAGAGGCTCAAGACCCCTGAACATAACTTTATAAGATGGATTTATTATTGTACTGATTCCTTTTGTAACTTCCAATACTTGCCTCTTCCACCAACAAGTTCTCTAGTTCCTGTTTACAGTCCTGAAGTCTCATTCTATCTGCACTGTCTACCACCCATATCAAACCATCTGTGCTCTCAAAGTAGTTTCTCCAGTATGACCGTAGAGACTTTTGACCTCCAACGTCCCATATGTTCAACTTAAACCTGATAAACAAATAGAAGTCATAACTATGTAGTAACTATTTAAGTGTAGTAACAGACATTATCCCAGCTAACACATACAAGCTTTGTTGGAATTAGCTCCCTTGTATATGATCAACATACCTGCCAAGAGTTTCAATTATAGCCATAAACTTGCTAGATAATTCATTCTTTTTTAAAGTGGGACATTGACTCATGCAAATCAAACAATTTTACATTATAACTTTAACTGGTATTCAAATATTAATGATCATGATGTAACGGAGGTTATTGTTCATTTTGATGTCTGCTAGGAATTGGACCTAGGATCTCTGGTTACTAGACTAACACTAAAACAATTAAGTTAAAGAAATTTCTTTTTACCAAACAGTATCTTGTGGGTATTTTGTTCCTTGGTTACAACAATATCATCTGTACCATGCCTAAAGAGGTGACATGTATATTACATAGTCTTAATGATCTATTCATGTAAAAATTGTAACATTTACATGATAAAGACGTTTTCACATTTTCCAAATATTTCAGTGACAATATACATACCCTCTATGCTCTAGTGTCTTGATATTAAACCCAAGAGTTGGTGAAATGGTGTCAATATCCTCACCATTGAATTTCTTCAGTATAGTGGTCTTGCCCGCATTGTCAAGGCCTCTGTGCATTTGGTTAAGGTAAATATATATATAATCACAGACTGAAATATCAAACAGATAAAAAAGCTAAGGCTCATTGGTATACGGGTAAGTCATATAGTGCTCTTCAAAAATAGCCATAGAAATAGCAAATTCACATTTTCTAACAGAGATATTTAGGATATAAACTACATAAATATTTTGTATGATCTATAAACCAAAATCAATAACAGCTGAGTAAATCTACTCTGATCTTAACCCATACACCTATGAATATATGTTCAATATTTAATGCTACAGACTGCCAAATTCTATGCACTCTTCTGACTTTGCCATTTTCATATTTATAAATGATTTACTATTGACTGTGTGATAGGTGCATTCAAGAGTAACAATAAGAATACATTATCATAGAACACAAGTAGGGGATGATGTCTACTAGTTTTGCTGTTTCTCCACCGCAGATATAATGGTTTCCTCCTGGGGTTTTCTCAAATATCCAAAACAACATTTATTCCCTTCCTAAAAAATGTTCCACAAAGCTGATGAGGCTTTTAAAGTGATGTAAAATAAAGGCTCATTTTTTCCTCCTTCTACTGATTCACAGAGTAAAAATTATGTGTAAGTAGTACTCGTAAAGAAAGGAACAAGATTTAATGGTTATGAGCGAAGTAGCTGATTTTAAGATGTTTAGTGGTAACAACAACTTTCTGTAATGAATTTTATGTAGAAGGGTCAGCCTTGCATCTTTTCTGCTATCTGCATGGCTACCAGGTATATGACTTTTCTAACACATCGTCAATGTTGAATGTAAAGTATATTACAATAGCATATGGCAATGGGCAGTCTTGTACCGTACCATCTAAATCTTTACTTTATCAACAAAGTTCCATAATGGTCTTGTATATTCAACCCAAGGGTGGACCAGGGTCATATAGGAATTTTCATCAGGAATCTCAAGGAGGAACCCTAACCCTATGTTGGTATCACTATGGCAATTCTACTTTTAGTCGGAGGCGATTGCATTGTGGTCTCAAGATATTTGGCTTCTGTCGCATGCTCGTAAATAAAGGTTCTTGCATCATGATCCAACTATTTTGTCTTTATCTGATGTTATTTAAAAAAAAAAAAACAACAACAGTTTTTCATATTAAGTTCTGTGTAACAATGAATGTAAGTTGAGAGGATGAGTTGAAGTTCTTTTCCAGGAATTTTCGATACCTGTACAATTACAGAAGCACTATATATGGTTTGTGATGAGTCACAAAATTACGACCACGGTACACTCAACTAACACCGACAACAATGTATACATAATGGTGAATTATTCAGAATATGGAAAAGGATACAGCATTAAGATTCTGACTTCTTTCTCCTTCTGTTTCATCTTCTTTAAAATTGTGAGCAAACCCATTGTGTATTGAATTCAGTTGCTTGCGATTTCTCAAATAAAACTCATATGCACAGTAGACACCGACTTCAGCATGTCACGATTGTTTATTTGGAACTCTTTAATTACGGAGATAACAAAATCAAACTATCAAAAATCGTCATATATTTATCACAACATTTAATAAGAATTATAACTGCTAAAAAATAATGATATATACAGCATCTTTCATTATACTAGAAGTGGAATAAAATGCATTTGAATTATTATTGTACACAACCCTGATAGTTTTGTGTATGTCGCAAACCGTCACAAGAGAAGATGGCTGCCAAGAACAAGAATCAGGAACGTCTCTGGCAGTTTGATGTTTCCGATCCTACAAAGCACCCCGATGGTTTTACCATATACAAAGTATCGTGCAAGGTTGGTCATTAGTTACTTCTATATTCACCCAGACTACTAGTATTGTGATATTATTTCAGATTTATCTAAAATTAAAAATTTAAAACAGGTATCTGTTGAGCCGGTTATCGTCCCCTATCGTAGCCGGCGGCATATCTTGACCAGTTGATAGCTGTCAGAAAATTACATAACCATACAACGTTGTAAGATATATTAAAATATCGATATTCGATTGCTACGTGGCTAATTTTATTCATTTTGCATTATTATCTAGATAAATTGTTTAAAATCACCATTCACAGAAATTATTTCTTCAAAAGCAAAACACGTCAGCAAATTCAGTTAACTATATATATCAAATCTTGCTTATTGCATTCGTTGGGAAAGCCTGAAAACACACACAGAAAGAAAGAAGAACAAAAATGCGCACACACTAGAAGTTATTAAATATATATACAAATATTAAAATTCTTGATGTGCCAGTATCCAATATAGATCATCAAACATAGTATTCTTTATTCACGTAACGCTTACATTGTAGTTTAATAATGATATTGGTTTTGTAGTAATACGTTTCCTGGTATGGCAATACAGTTTTCGGTCCTATTAAATTTCTTGACATAATAATTAAGTACATATGTTTGTTATACTTTTAAAAAGCTTTAATTTTTTAATCCAAGGGATTGAAATCAGTCTGTTGTTACACATCCATGTATTTTTATATATAGTACCTATTGAAGCCCGTTTGACTAGCTCATAGATCAGATCTATTTTGAAATAAACTGACCATGGGTCAGTTGTGCAACCACAAATTAAACTGATGTACTTTGTTACGCCAAGTAGTACTGTACTCTCTGATTAACTGATTGACTGGGTTGTAAATAGTTGTGTCTTTGGGGCGAAGACTCTATTGGTAGTTTCAACCAGCTGCAGGTAGCTCAGGTGGTAAAGCATTTACAGTTTGGAGAGTCCCCAGTTTGAACTCCAGTCTGGCGGCGCATTTTCTGCTCCTATTACACATAGATAGAAAGAAGAATGTTAAGAGATTTTCAAAAGCTTTCTGGGCTGTTCATTATATAGGAAAGGTGATATAATCAATTTTCACTGTCTTTACTCTACTTTTCCTAAATGATATATAAATATATTAGAACAAATCACAACTGATCAAAAATTTTTTTTAATACACGTTTTTTTTCATCTTTTTGTATGATTAAGTTTTCAATATTTTACTAATTTTTTGGTAATTTGTTTGCAAAACTATCATTTCAGTGCAATCCAAATAAAAAAACTGCTGATATTAGTAAAACCATTTTTCTGATTTTGTTAGCCCTAGGTATTTCCAGTATGTCGAATCTATATCTAATAAAGGAGGAAATTTCATGTATAAAGGTATTGCATGTACAGTAAAACCTTGTTATGTTGAAATACTTATGGAATGACAAAATAATTCAAATTATCCAAACTGCCATTCTGTTTTCTATTCTATAATGGTTTGTGTCAGAATAGCAAACACAACTCACTGTTTTTATAATTAATATTCACAGAATGGAAGTTGTAATGTGTTCCATCAACGAAAAGTATGAACAGTGGCTTTCCAATTAAGCGATGTGAAAACAATGACTTTGTGTTGCCAAGGGATGGAAATTACTGTTTAAATAAAGCAACTGAGTTCACATTAAGCAGTAGATAAATACACAAAGAAGACGTGGGGGTAGGGTGGGGTGGGGGCAGGTTTTAATTTTATTTAAAATTAATCTGTATAATATATCTGAGTTCAAATAAAGTGGGTTTGACTTTATATGACAGTGATTAAAAGTTATGACAGAAGTGAGGCGACAAGATTTTGTCACATATCAGATATGATATGAGCTTTTCAAGCTCTGCAAGTAATCCCAAAAATTGCTTCAGATGCCTTTAATAGAGTCATATGGTATATTATAAATGTAGTAAAGTTCATCACTCTGGAGTTTCAATCCATCCATTCATGATTCCATCAAAAAGTGTGAATGACACATTTATTATTTTCTAGAATTCCTTCAAGATGGATATTGTATAAATTGTCTTTAGATGTAATCTCACAAGAAATGAGAGACATAGATCAAACAGGAATTTGTCAGTAACAGAAAGTTGATAGGACTGACAAAAATTCTATGGTTGGAACTAACCGTGATACTATCTCTGGATGCAGCTAACTTGAACAGCAGCTATTTAAGAATTCCTTTGTTTTTCGAATAGGTTTTTATGGGTTTTTTTTTTGTTTTCTTTTTAATTATTCTGAAATGAAATAGTTCAGTTTAGAGATGATTTTTTTTTTGTATCATAGTCTTTTTTTTATTCATAATTTTCTCTTTTCATCTTAAGTATGTATGATATAAATATGATATATGCTTTATACAAATTGTAATACCTCTGTATGTACTCTATTATTGCAATATTACATGAATAATTTCTCTTTTTCACAGGTGTTTCAAATTCATTCACCTGAAAGTTTGACTGAGGTAAGCATAAACTGACATTGTAAGATCAAAATACAAATAGATAAGAAGAATTTTATAGCAATATTATGATTTTTAGAAATTCTTTTTTTACAATTTAACAAAGGTCTGTAATTGTAAGGAAATGATATTTCCTGTAAAATGACCCAGTTTAAGAATAAATAGTACATTAATTTGTTTTTTCTGTAACTTCACCAAATCAAAGAAAAAGGATAATAAAACTATACTCCGATTTAAGTTAGCTTCTTTTTTACCCTGCAAATTTGAACAGTACAGTCAGTGTATATACAAGTTTTACTTGCGTAGCACAGGTCCTATTTAATTTGCGCTATAAATTAAAACCAGATTCTAAAATTACATTTATCATCTTTTTCTGCAGATCCTTATTTGGAAAAGATATAATGATTTCAAGAATTTATTCCGAGTGATGTTAGCACTTCACAAGGCACTTCACAGGAAAGAAGAATTCCCAAGATTTGCCAAACCGAAACTTTTTGGTATAGAAATCTTCAAATGTTTGGTGTTTTTGTTTTAATTAAACCATTCATTTTCTGGTTAATATAGACATCTTACTGGGAACTTCTAGAAAATTCATTATTTAATGATTGTTGGGGTAATTCCACTTTTGTAAAAGATTTTTTCATCAACATGATGAACAACTTTACCATCTCTGAGATTTGATTGAAAATGCAGGATCTATATAACGTCATTCATATTGATTTAGAATTCAAAAGTTAAATGAGATTTAATGTGCTTATCAATTATGGTAGTCTTTTATAAAATGGACTCCCTGGTTTGAAAATCTACTCTTGAAATCTTGAAATAGATGTTCACTTTTAAGAATTCTATACGTGTATGATTTTATCAGGTCGTTTTGAAGATGCTGTGATAGAGGAAAGGCGTCTAAGTGCCTTACAACTGCTGAATTTTATTGGTAATCAAGCCCATCTCCACAAGTCAAAGGCATTTCAAGAGTTCCTCAAGGTATGCTGTTGATATTTTAGATTAATACTTGTTCTTATTAACCCTAGTTGATAACAGTTTAAACATAAAATCAGAGCTAGAAGTGGCCATGATACCTTAGTTGGTTAGAGTGTCTGCCTGTAACATGTCAGGTGAAGATCTGAGGTGTGTGTCTCTATCCGTAACAGTTTGGGTTTCTCTGGAAGGGTCTCCCATGTGTCTTCAGTGAGGTAGCTACCAGCTATTATATAGAGATCCTGTCTCAAAATGCCTGGCTGTTTGTGGGACAGTACATCCAGCAAACAAAGAGAAATGATTATACACTGTCACACTATGTTTCAACTTCTGAATTGGGGTGTTGATTCTGTGATATCTTTGCTGAAAAAAACATTCAAACCATGACAGTATTGAGTTACACTTTGTATCTAACATCCAATTAACTGAAGAAATTTACAAAAAAAAAAGAATATTTGATGCAATCAAAATGATACACAATTTCAGAATGCTGGTTTTTGGGAGAGAAAGTGAAAATTTAAAAATCACAGTGTGTCATTTGTCTAGATATTCTATAACTATTTCCATTAGGGAGGGAAGCAGAGACATGGCCTGTCAGGGAGTGTGATGAAGCCATCAAAACTGGACATTCTGTCACCAGACTCTTTGTCCTCCACACAATCTGATGACTCAGAGACAAGGTCTAGTGAGGAACTTCTCCAGCCTGTGAAACATCCACCATGTGAGACGAAAGATGTCACTGTGGAAAACAATACAGATGGCGACTCCGAACATAGGTGAGTTGATGAATTATACTATCTTAATTAGAAATAATTCATGCACATTTCATATTAATGAGAAAGTGTATAAAATGTAAACTTTGATCTTAAAGGCAATTTATATTAATGTACACATAAACTTTTTCAAACAATACTTATCTTTTTGTAAGAGAATTAAATTCCAACCAACACAGTAATTTATTTACAGGTCTCCTGTTATTATCATCAGTCATTATCATAGCTTTCCATGTATCTCTAAAATATCAAACAGTAAACAATACAGGATAAGTCGGGGTTGTCTCCCTTTGATCTATTCTGTAACGACAAAGTTGTTTGTTTTGGCAGAAATCTTATTGATGCTATTTTCAAGAAATTGAAGAAAAGAATCACAGAAAAGATATGTATCATAATGATAAAGAGGACCATTGCTCATTACATTACTTTCATAAAACATGATTTTGTTACAAGTATTTGGTAAAACCAAGGAAAAAAGCAGAAACAAACAGAAGAGGCAACCTTCAAGTAACTCACAAAATGTGAAGCATATCTAATCTACGTACAAGATATGTGGAAAATAGGTTTTCGGGAACATGTAATATTGCTAAATGTGAATATCGATTTCAGCAAGAAAACATACATTTGTGATAAAGATGTGATCTGAACTGCATAAATTGATAAGAATTTATTTCAAATTATAAATGTGATTGGTTTTAATTTGTTCTGCAGTACATGTAAATGGAAATATCAAAATTTTACAATTACAAAATAGTATTGTCATATGATTTGACAATAAATGTTTGGGGAATGTCAATAAATCAGTCTGTTTTGTTTTCTAGTGATTCAAAGGATGTGAAATTAGAAGGCGTGTGGAATTTCCCACAGATCCCAGACAACATCAGTCTTAATTCTTATGATGATGACACAGAAGATGGTGATGTGGAATCTAATCTCAGTGCCTCTCTCCCGGACACTGACATTGCATACTTTGACCCACTTTCTACAGAAAACCAAGATGGCAAACAAGACATACACACAAGTGGTAGCTGGCTATTTGCGGCCATGAATACTTGTGCAGGTATTGATTTTATGAGTCCTTAATGAAGTACATTATGATTTCATAGATATGATGCTTTATACTCCTTTTGACTTTCTGAATAATGGGAAAATTATCTAAATTTCTGTTTTTGGTAATAAATTCAGTACATTATACTAAAAATAAATATAATGATATCTATTTATCTACAATTATAAGCTACAAGGTAAACAAATGCGGAAGAGATATCAGATTTGATCACAAGTTAAAATGTCATGAGTTTTCCTGTGATGACTTCCTAAGTGGAACAGTTCTTCAATCAAATTTTAGTAAATTAAGTCTGAGATGGCCATGTTTGTAATGAAAACTGTGATTATCATTTTTATTTCCTGCAAGAAATGGATACTGAAGATGCAAGAGATGAAACAGATTCAACAACACCATCAGATAGTGATGCCGGTATACAGGTAGGTAAACTGTCTGCTGATTGTAAAGGTGAATAATAGAGGAATATTTAAGTGAATTCAAAAAGTAAGAAGTTTGAAGAAAAATACTTCCTTTAGTCCAACACAGATTTTACAACTTTGTAGTGATTTATCCTTTATTGATGCAGAATGTTTTTGATGGTTGAGTTTTAACATATTGTGGTTTTGAAACAATTAGATTGACTTTGATGAAAAGACAGAGGATATGACAACCTCAACAGATACAGTGGTCGAGGTAAAAGTCGATGGTGTTCCTATCTCTGAGTCAAAGAAAGGAGGTACAAAATCTTCAACACCAGATCTCAGTGAATTTGACCCACTGAGAATGAGGACGGAGTCTAGTGTGGAATATGGTAAAGGTGACCTTGACCTTTCACATGCTACCAGCAAAGGGAGTGTGTCTTCCCATAGTAACAGCACAACATCCAGTGCCACATCGTCTCCAGTACACCAAGTTGGCCGTAGTCCTCGCCGTCTCCGGTCACAAACTGGCGAGTCAGTGTCCACTATGGACTTGGGGGGAAAGGAGGACTACATTTATGTGGCAGCTAATCAGATATGTCAGGCACAGGACCATGAGGCTAATGGTCGATACGAGCATGCCTTCTCCTCATATAAGAGTGGAGTAGGAATTCTGCTGCAGGGAGTTCAAGGTAAGAACATACAAGGCTTCCTTGGGCTTCAACCAATTCGTGCTCATTCATCATCCTGTAATAAACCCTAAACTCTACTTTGTGTCAATGACAACGTTTTTTTAGAATCATTCTGTTTTTCACTATTTGGAGTGAGTCAGAAAATGACATAAAATAAATACACTGAATTTTTTTTTTTTTAATTTAGAAGCCATAGTCTTTTTTTCATGCCTCCTCATTACATACTTCCGTTTCACTTTGAACGCTGATTAAACTGATGAAATTGGAAACAAAGACTATTCTTTTTATAAAATGCTGACATTTTGATAAAAAAATTCTTACTAAAGTACATAAAATTAAGTAAATTTGAGGCAAATTGTATCAATACTGTTTGTTTATGCTATATCAGGAGATAAAAACAAAGCTAGAAGAGATGCTGTGAGGAGGAAAACAGCCCAGTACCTGATTAAGGCAGAGGATTTATACAATAGGCACTTAGCTAAGGAATCCCTGGATCATAAAAGATGGGCGGTATGATTTACAGAATATGAAATCTATATGTACCTGAGAAGATGTAGCTGGAGCTTTAGCAATGTTATTATATTTAAGCTTTATTTTTGAGTCCTGCTGCTTATCCATCAATTTGGTCTCATATTGAACACAGAACCATTATATACAGTCTTATTTACTGAGAGGATGATTGGTTTCTTCCAACCAGATAGGGATGATTTAGCTATTCAGTGAAATATTCTGTATCTTATGAGCTTTACATGAATACTTTTATTAAAGAATTTATTTTTAATCTCAACAATTGGAAAACAAGAACATTTTAAAGCAAAGTTGTTTAACCTAGAATTATGTCTGTAGGCTGATGGTGACTTGTCACCACTGTCAGAAGTTGACCCGTCCCTGGCCTTGCTGAAGGGATCTACAGGGGAGCTGAAGAACTACAAGGTATTGGGCACTGTTGACCGTGTGCTACTCGTGATGGACAGAAGTACAGACGACACTTACATCATGAAGGTACAATGTGATATGTTTACTAAGAATCACTTTAGGTTGGTTAATATAATGTTATGCTTCAGTTTCAGTGATCTTCGCCTTTAGGATTGATATTAATATGTCATGTTTGTCGCGATTCAAATTTTAGTTTGTAAATATACAAGAAAGAACAAAAATGAAGGAAAATCCTTCAATGTCACAAATCATTTCTTTATTCTTTTAGTATATGATAAATTGAAAAAAAAAAAAATCTTATATTGTGGTGCAACTAATATGTGAATCAAATAAAAATAATGGATAAAGTTTGATATATAATCCAGAAAATACTGTATTAAGGTTAACTTTTTTGTAATTAAAAGCAAAGAGGTATATCACTTTCTGATGGCTTCAAAATACATTTTAAATCTTGAAAGTTGTGGAGTCTAAAAAATATACAAAGGACTTCCTTGGAGACTAAGCATTAGTAAAACTGGCAATTTTCTCAGAAACTCTTTTCATGGAGGCATTTAAAATCATGGAACTTAAACTCCCTTCCTAACAGAACTGAAAATGAATATGAATTGTGGTTAATTAAGATCTTATTGTTTCATATGTAATGACACAGGGATGCAATGTTTTATTGTGCAACCAGTGATAATCATTTAAACACTGTGTTATATAAAACAACGGTGAAGGAATTTTACTTAAACATTAAAACATTTGTTATATAAAACAACGGGGATTGAATTTTACTTAAACATTAAAACATTTGTTATATAAAACAACGGTGAAGGAATTTTACTTAAACATTAAAACATTTGTTTTATAAAACAACAGGGATTGAATTTCCTTAAACATTTGTTATATGAAATAATGATGAAATAATTGTCTGTAACATTTGCTTTATAAAACCATGACAAAGGGTTTTTTTTTGTTTTTTAAGTCTTATCATTTCTCCATTTCTTTCCAGACTATCCACAAGTCTAGTACCTGTACTACACGGTTGAGGACCATCTTGCCTGTATCATGTCCATTTATGGTCGGACTCCACAAGTTTTATGAAACAGACAATGCTATTCACCTACTGTTACAGTATGCAACTGGTGGTAAACTGTGGACATATATTGGAGCTTATCTGCAGGCTAATCGAGGTAACCCTCGGGACAATGTTCCGGGACTGGTTACCGATAAAGACCAGTACACTCATGCGTATATGGGACAAAAAATCCATAGCACTGATAATTCGGTATCAGACTCCGATAAACAGCATACCAATGTGGAAAAGTTGTGTCAAGATCCGGAGTTCTCGATGCTTCATATGAAATACACAAAAGAGAATGAAATATGTGCCTACATTCATAAAGATTCAGGTGAAACTTGTACAGATACAGACTCCAATATCTTAGGACAGAAACCAAAGTCATCAAAGGATGAAATAAACTGTGATATTAAGGACAAGAGTCCTGTCAGTGGAGTAATGAGAATGAGAAACCTGAGTAGTATTTCATCTTTAGACAACCAGGATGGTAATGAAACAGACATACAGGAGTATAAACCATGTCAACTTGACCAGAAAGATTTTCAAATAAGCGATATTTTAGAGAACACAAAGTCAAATCTGGATTGTTTTAGTATAAATAGTGTTGAAAGTAACGAAGGTGTACAGAGAATGGACAGCAATACGTCAGATAGTGCTGCATTTGAGTGTATTCCAGAAGAGAGTGAATTATCACCGAGACACAAGCCTCATGTTGAGCATGAAGTTTTTCCTGGAGGTAAAATACCAGACAGTGACGAGAATGGTATAACTGTGCCTGAGAATGATGCGGACATTATTGTGCAAAATGCAAAAAAGCTGATTAAATCAGTGGAAAGGACCTTATCGATTGCTGATTCTGAAGTAGAGGAGGTGATATCACCAAAAAAATTGTCAGACTTTGATGTGGATTTTAAAAGGAATAGTTCCAGTGTTCAAGATGGTAATGATTTATCTTCTGGTACACCAACATCCCAAAACATAAGTGACCTTCAAGATGACAGATTCAAAAGTCAAAATTCGGAAAGTCTGGTAGATGATTATGACAGTTCCAATGAGACTAGTATATATGACCTCAACAGATCAGGTGAAGACACAAGCGATGGTGAACCAATAAAATCTATAAGTGATTCTCCACATAAGGAAATCTCAGAACAAGATTTATTAGAAGATAGCAAAGACAGGTCAAACACATTAGTCAAACCCAAGTCTGATTCTGACTTATCTTCAAGAAGATATAGTGACCATGACCGAAAGGAGTCAAGGTCATCCACATTCACTGAGCAGTCCTTGACTAGACATCCTACACCGCCTAAAAAGCTTAGTTTGACCCGAATGAACTCTAAAGATCTTTGTAGGTCAGCATCTATGGAACGAGAATTAACCTCCCCATTGAAGACAAGACACAGAAATTTATCTGGCGTGTTCCAGCAGCTTGACCTGGCCACTAATAGTCCAGATCAGGTTCATCTGCCCGAGTCATGTATCCAGCAGTGGGCAGCTGAGGTAGTGGTAGCACTGTCAAGACTTCACGCAGAGGGAATAGTTTGCAGGTACATGTTGTTTGATGTATGTTTTCGCCGACCAGACTCAACTGTATACATCTTGGTGCTGTTGAAGTTTACACATGGGTGCCATAAATTTCTGTCATTTTCACAGTGAATGAGACTGACATTTATAATTTCGTTCAATTTTTAGGCAAACACAAAGTATTTCAATATTTTTTTCAGAGCACAACATTGAAATAAGCTAAAAATCAGTTTTGATTGAATGTTTCACACAATAATAGTTGGTCAACATGTGACTGTGAAATATTTGATATACAGTTAATATATCATTTTGAATATCCTTTTTCCCCGATATCTGTGAAATATTCATCCTGTTTGTATCAAGGTTTTGATAAAATGGCAGAAAAAAGCCTTTTACATTGACTTTTTTAAAGCTGATGGTGAACATTCATAGCACAATTTTGATACATTGTGTATTGTTGAAATGTTATACAATATTGTCTCTCACAATTTATAAATTTTAAGGTAGAGATGACTGGACAAATCAATATTTGGTCAACATAGAAATTTAAGTCTCAAATCAACTTCTTAATAAAGATTTTACTCAATGGCTTGAAACGTTGGGGTCAAACTTTGATTGAAAGGCTGAAATTATCTCAACTTTATGATAATTATATAAAATATAAACTTTATCAATTTTACAACAGTTACAAAACAAGTTATTTCAACTTATACTAACCACTTTTGTCGGCCAGATTATAAGGATGTAATGGGTCTTACTGTGGGTGGAAACCAGAGTACCTGGGGAAAACCCACGTGGTCGGATAGGTAACAACTTTCCTTTTCACCGCTTTCTCCATCCGTCCATCATAATGTTGTCCGTAGCATAACAGAAAAATAAGGAGTATCTAAATGAAACTTTATAGGTAGATATGTGTCAATTAGGAGAAGTGCAACGTACAAGAACCATAACTCTCCTTATTGTCCTTGTTTTAAAATTTGTGTCATCAGCATAGCTTTGCTTGCATTAAAACTAGGATTATGAAAATTGGTGTATGTATTCCTCATACTAAGAAAATGTGCTTTATACCAAATTCAGGGCCTGCAACTTCTTAATTACAGAATTATTGCTTTTCGTTATTGTGTCCAATAAAGTTGTTTTCTAGGAGCATTCATTAATTTAACTGATACTTGTGTTAATTGTCTGCTTTATTCTAACACAGAGACCTAAAGCCTGACAACATACTACTAGGGGAGTGTGGACATGTTCTGTTAACCTACTTTTGTCAGATCAGCACCACAGAGACAGATGTTGATTTTGAGGCTGTGGATCAACTTTACGTTGCACCTGGTATTATTATTGTTCATTGTTGTAAAACTCTTGTAAATTTCAACAATTTTATGTATTTTCATAAAGGAAGATATATCACATTGGCACAGGATTAATAGACAATTTTCTAGAACAAGGAACTCTTCATGACATTTAAAATGCGTAAACAAAATCTCTGATTTGCATTTTCTCAAACTCTTTCATTATACAAAACACATTAAACTATTTTACAATGCCTACATCTTATGACAGATAGGTGACTTTGTAAATATCTGAAGATAACTTCAATTGTAATTCTTTGTTTCACCTTTTTGAAAAATGAGAGGGAGATGGCATGTACATGATTGAAGTAATATGTGTTTTAAGCTTGATGCAACTTTAGCAAATTATGCATTCACAAGTTTCAATATCAAAACTAATCTGTGACTTTATCTTTAACAGAGGTGAGGAGTATATGTGGCTATACAGATGTCTGTGACTGGTGGAGTGTTGGAGCTCTCCTGTATGAGCTTCTCACTGGACGAGTAAGTACATGTAACCATGGTTACATTTTCCATACATCATTTCTAAACAATGTTTCCTGTGGACTGAATAGTGCTTTTGTGGAAATTTTATCTAACATGTAATGACAGCTTTCATACATGACTTTTTATTTTTTTTTTACCCATATTCGAGGTCATAGGAGTCAAATTCATTAAAACCTTCAAATAACTTCTTCTAACAGACATAAAGGCCAAGAATCATGTTATTTGTCAGGACGGTTCCTGGGATAAAACCTGATGAGATTTACAGAAAAAAATGACTTTGCCTTTTAATCAAGATCACAGATTGTTAAAACGTTTCTCATTTACCAAAAACATTAAATGTAGAAGATGTAAAATTGGGCCTCTTGTTCTTTATTGAAATAGCATTCAATGAATTCTTATCAAATCTTTATCTTTACATATGGTAAGAGGACAAAAGAAAACTTTGATTGACAAGGATGTGCAGAAAAGTATTGTTCTATTTACTGTGTTTTTTATACGTATCAATAACTAAAACCGTCTTTTAAATTCTAGAGTTTATTGAGCTGTCATCCTGGAGGAATTACTTCTCATACACAACTCTACATACCAGAGATTATGTCTACTGAGGCTAGGGGTCTCCTCCAGCAGGTAAGTCATACACAACTCTACATACCAGAGATTGTGTCCGCTGAGGCAAGGGGTCTCCTCCAGCATGTAGGTCATACACAACTCTACATACAGAGAGTATGTCTACTGAGGCTAGGGGTCTCCTCCAGCAGGTAAGTCATACACAACTCTACATACCAGAGAGTAGGTATGCTGAGGCTAAGGGTCTCCTCCAGCATGTAGGTCATACACAATTCTACATACCAGAGAGTATGTCTACTGACGCTAGGGGTCTCCTCCAGCAGGTAAGTCATACACAACTCTACATACCAGAGATTGTGTCCGCTGAGGCAAGGGGTCTCCTCCAGCATGTAGGTCATACACAACTCTACATACAGAGAGTATGTCTACTGAGGCTAGGGGTCTCCTCCAGCAGGTAAGTCATACACAACTTTACATACCAGAGAGTAGGTTTGCTGAGGCTAGGGGTCTCCTCCAGCATGTAGGTCATACACAACTCTACATACCAGAGATTATGTCTGCTGAGGCAAGGGGTCTCCTCCAGCATGTAGGTCATACACAACTCTACATACAGAGAGTATGTCTACTGAGGCTAGGGGTCTCCTCCAGCATGTAGGTCATACACAACTCTACATACAGAGATTATGTCTGCTGAGGCAAGGGGTCTCCTCCAGCATGTAGGTCATACACAACTCTACATACAGAGAGTATGTCTACTGAGGCTAGGGGTCTCCTCCAGCATGTAGGTCATACACAACTCTACATACCAGAGAGTGGGTATGCTGAGACTGGGAATCTCCTCCAGCATGTAGGTCATACACAACTCTACATACAGAGAGTAGGTATGCTGAGGCTAGGGGTCTCCTCCAGCATGTAGGTCATACACAACTCTACATACCAGAGAGTATGTCTACTGAGGCTAGGGGTCTCCTCCAGCATGTAGGTCATACACAACTCTACATACCAGAGATTATGTCTGCTGAGGCTAGGGGTCTCCTCCAGCATGTAGGTCATACACAACTCTACATACCAGAGAGTATGTCTACTGAGGCTAGGGGTCTCCTCCAGCATGTAGGTCATACACAACTCTACATACCAGAGATTATGTCTGCTGAGGCTAGGGGTCTCCTCCAGCATGTAAGTCATACACAACTCTACATACCAGAGAGTGGGTATGCTGAGACTGGGAATCTCCTCCAGCATGTAGGTCATACACAACTCTACATACCAGAAAGCAATACATAATTTTTTATGCTAGAGAGTAGATCTACGGAGGCCAGGGTTTTTAGGAAAGGCATTTGCGACAGGACCATTTTTAAAAACATCTTATGTGATTTGGTTGCTTAAGTAACCACATAAGGCCCATGACTGCTCTTAATGTTGGAGACGGGGCTGGAGATTGAAAATTGGGAAACTCCTGACTGAATGGTTAGAGTTGGCAGATATACGATCACCTCATAGTCATAATTTTTTTTCTCATTTAATTGCTCAAACCATGATAATAGCTTAAAAAACCCATTAAAATGCAGTAGTATTTCATTAAAGGTTTTAGCATATAGTTTGAAAAACTATTTTGCATTTGTTATTGTACTTTTTTTAAAAATAATTACAACATTTTAACTGTCATTTTACTTATTCTGGTGTATCAATATCATTGGCTAAACAGATAGTTTTTGTAAATATTACATGTAGCGTACATTGGTTAATAGTTAATATGTTGACTGATTTTAGCTGTTGTGTTACAACCCACGCGAGCGTCTCGGAGCTGGAATCAACGGAGCAGAAGAGATAAAAGCACATCCATTCTTTAGTGGTGTAAACTGGAATTCCTTGGAGAATCTGTGCTCATGAAGAAAAATATCTATTGTTATCATACCGTGTCAAAGAATATTACCTCATAATTCATTTGTATAATTTTGCAGTTATTCTTCATCAATCCAGCAATGTCAAATCACTTTGTCCCGCTTAGTTTTGATGGCTGTATTTATACAACAGTCTCTAGTCACAATCACTGGACACACCAGTGTTGGCTGGATTATCTAAGCTCCACAATGTCTAGTCACAGTCACTGGACACAACAGTGTTGGCTGGATTATCCAGGCTCCACTATGTCTAGTCATACTCACTGGACACAACAGTGTTGGCTGGATTATCCAGGCTCCACTATGTCTAGTCACAGTCACTGAACACAACAGTGTTGGCTGGATTACCCAGACTCCACTATGTCTAGTCACAGTCACTGGACACAACAGTGTTGGCTGGATTATCCAATCTCTACTATGTCTAGTCACAGTCACTGGACACAACAGTGTTGGCTGGATTATCTAAGCTCCATTATGTCTAGTCACAATCACTGGACACAACAGTGTTGGCTGGATTATCTAAGCTCCACTATGTCTAGTCACAGTCACTGGACACAACAGTAATGGCTGGATTATCTAGGCTCTACTATGTCTAGCATCTTTTCCAAATGAGAAAGTAGTCTAACACTTTATCTTTATCAGGATGTAGTCTAGCACCATTTCCTTATTAGGAAGTGGTCTAGCACCATTTCCGAATAAGGAAGTAGTCTAGGTCTAGCACCGTTTCCTAATTAGGAAGTGATCTAGCATCATTTCCGAATTAGGAAGAAGTCTAGCACTGTTTCCTATTTAGGAAGTAGTCTAGCACCATTTCCTATTTAGGAAGTGGTCTAGCACCATTTCCGAATAAGGAAGTAGTCTAGCATCATTTCCGAATTAGGAAGAAGTCTAGCACTGTTTCCGAATTAGGAAGAAGTCTAGCACTGTTTCCTATTTAGGAAGTAGTCTAGCACCATTTCCTATTTAGGAAGTAGTTTAGCACCATTTCCTAATTAGGAAGTGGTCTAGCACCATTTCCGAATAAGGAAGTAGTCTAGCACCGTTTCTGAATTAGGAAGAAGTCTAGCACTGTTTCTTAATTAGGAAGTGGTCTAGCATCATATCCGAATTAGGAAGTAGTCTAGCACTGTTTCCTCATTAGGAAGTAGTCTAGCACTGTTTCCTAATTAGGAAGTGGTCTAGCATCATATCCGAATTAGGAAGTGGTCTAGCACCATATCACTGATATTGCTGACAAATGGTTTTTTGGAGATATTATACAAAGTGCTGTGCTAAAGATTAAAAACACAATATTGTTTGTCCTACTAGAAACAATGATAGTCAGCATCACTACACAAGGCAAAGTCAAACTTGTTTATCTCAAACTCAAACAGCTTGAAGCCCTGTTTATCTCAAAGTGTTTCTCCAGTCTAAGCCAAAGCTTCTCTATTTTATATGATTAATTTTCTTTTTTTTTGCACCCCCTGCCCAATGAAGTTGGCAGGGGGGATATTCAAACAGATTCCCTTCATCAGAATGCAGCTTTCTGCGTGATATCTTTTGAAGGACGGATTGGATTTTGATGAAACTTTGTTACCTTAATCCCTTGCCCAAGTTGGATTAACAGCTAATTCTGCACATATTTAATGAGGCTACTGTGACTTGATTGGCTGATTTCTTTAATAACTCCTATGGGAATGCTTTTGGCACTTTATCTTACAAAAAAATACGAAGATTTTTTGGAAACTTGATTTGTAGACTTATTACCTTCATTCCTTGTTCAGATTTGATTAAAAGTAAATTCTACGCATATTTTATGTGACCTGATTGGCTGATATCTTCTGGCACTCTAACTGAATGCTTTCTTCGTGTTATCTTATGAAGGAACAAATGAATTATGATGAGACTTGCTTGGTAGACTTCTTAACCCCTTGTTCAAGTTTGATTATCAGCAAATTCTGTGCATATTTAATGAAGCTACTGTGACCTGATTTGCTAGTATCTTTCAGCACCCTTACTAAATGCTTTCTGCATGCTATCTTTTGCAGGAACTAATGAATTTTGATGAGACTTGCTTGGTAAATTTATTATTACAAAATATTCTTACTCAAGTTCAATCAACCGTGAATTCCATGCATATTTGATTATGTGATTTCTTTAAGCAGTCTTGAGGAATTAATTGATTTCCACATTTCTTTCAAAGGAATGAACTATTTTTTATGAGACTTGCTTAGCAGACTTAGCAGTACCTTAACAACTGTCTTAAGTTTGATTATTTGCAAATTCCTTAAATATCAAATGAGGCGGCTGTGACCTGAATGGCTGATTGGTTCACACAGGATATTTTCTGACATAATTATAAGAGACCTTGAATTGAAAAGACTATAGACATATTTCTTATCTTACCAATGAAGAAATATAGATGCCACAAAATCATGGAATAAGAATAATAAGAAACAGAACAATCATAATAGTCTTTTCACCAGTTGGTAAAAAGCCCTAATAAACCTATGATAGAGAATCTCCAAAATGTTTTTAGAAGTCTAATGTTTGAAGTAATGTTGCACTCTCACAGGATTTGTTTTACTGATAGTAGCTTTCTTGCAGTTTTACATATCTGACTTTTAGATGCTGTATTGAATTTTATTAAAGTGTATAAACCATTTCACTGTTTCGCCATACTTGAGCTGTAATAGAACCATTGATTGATCCAGCATCACTGAAATTTAGTGACAAATATTCTATCATTATCATTGGGTAAAAGAAGGGAATATAAAGGTCTGGTAAGCTGATTTTGATATTGACAGTATTATGGTACTAAATTCTTATTATATTAATCACTTTTAATGGAACTTCACACTGAACATAAATAATAAATGGTTTCAGTACTTCAGTTTTCCATGTTGTTCACTTTAAATGAATACATTTTACAAATGAACATGGGCAGGGGATCTTATGACTCTGTCCTTGTTTTTTGTTGTTGTTTTTTTTTTTCGTTTTGTTACAATACTGTCAACTCTGCTGCATATGGAATAAAATACTTCATTAGACATTTTTTAAAATGACTTGTGTCCCATATGTCGATTAGAATGCAAAACTATTTTTTTTCAAAATTGTCACAATAGAATTACATGTTAACATTGATATACTTAATATATACTGGATTTTTCCGGCAGTAACCCCGAGCCTGTTAATAAGACCACCCATATTTATTGTTGTTCTGTAAAATTATTGATGATATTGTATTGTTATAAGCCCACCTCTTGCTTGAGGTATATGTTGAAACAGTATGAATAGATATCAAAGTACCATGGGTGTTTAAATTGAGATTATGAATAAAATGATCTGATGGCATCATTATTACTGTAAAAAAATAATTAATCTTGGAAATGTTGTGTATATTTATCTGTAGTACACAAAGGGATTTGTTTCACAGTGGAAAAATGCACAATTTAATTGATATGTTACTGTTTTTAAAAAATAATACATGAGTAGGGAAAACACTAACTGAGAAATCTACTCAAGTGTTTTAATTGAATTATTGAATTTTTAATGTAATAGGATTGTACTATTGAATACAGATTGTGGCAAAACTAAATGAATGCTACTCGAATTGAAAATAGAAATAAATTATTTGTTTAGATCAAGCACTAATTGAGAAACCCACTGAAGTGTTTCAATGTAAAAGTTAATTCAATGAGACTATGCTGTCGAATGCTGTTTGAAGCAAAACTAGGTGAATTGAAATGTGCTGCTATTATGGACAGGAGTGATAATATTTCTTGCTATGTGTTAGTAACTGTGTATTTGTGGATGTGTTTTCAGAGTTGCTGTTTTTTATCATTCAATATTTTATGTGCCACACATTATGAACTTGCATGGTCCAAAGGAACACTAAGCTTATACACTGTTAGTCATGAATAACAGAGAGGATTTTTTCCAAATTTAGTCGGAAGCATCCTTGTGGGAAGGGAACATATTTTAAATAAATGATGTGGCCCCCTTGCCCAGGGTGTCAGGGATGGGGCCCAAAATGGGAAATTTTGCAAGTTCTTTAAAATCCTACTCCTGCTGTTTTGGAATGAATGATTTTTGTGCATTGAACGAAAAACTCAATAATGTTATGATAATGTTGTTAGTATTTTTAATTGTGGTTTCCCAGGTAACCTGCTTGCACACATAGTGAGAGAAATTGGAATATCCCATAAATTTTTGTCAAGATTTAGCTTAGGGTATATTTTCTGATCTGTTATTGTTAATCAGGCATGGTCTGTTCACATAGTCATATTTTTCAACTTGAAAAGTTCTGCAGTGATTTTGATAAAATAACAAACTTGAATTGTAAATTTTATAATTTCAAAAATTAGGGCAGGGCTGAAAGTGTAAAAAAAAAAATATCTTATGTATTTAAAAAAAAAAAAAAAAAAAAAATGAAAACTTTTTTTCTTGGGTGGAAAGGTTCCATGGTTCATTGTCAAAATTGTGAATTTCATAATTCCCAGGTATCCCTTTGTCTGAGGGGAGAGGGTAAACTTTACTTTAGTTCTGATAGGAAACTTTTGCTTATAGGTATGAATGGATTTATTTCCTTTCAGAGAGAAATAATTTGATGTTGTTAATTAAAGACTATTTTATGTGGTCCTTGCACCAGGGGCCTGACAGGTTTGGGTGCAAAAGGGGAAATTTGCTAATATTTCAAAATTTTTCTTGAGACATGGATGTTGTATATTGATAAAACTTTCCATAAATGTAAAATAAGATTTTAGTAACCCCAGGGTACACCATTACCTTTTAGGGAAAGGGTAAGTTTATTCATGGTTTATGTAAGAATATTAATAAGTTTACAGATAGATTTTGTTTATTCTGAATTCATAGGTATTGTCTCCAGATAGCAATTTTATGGTTCACTTCAGATGATGATCACTTCCTCCTGGGACCTGAAAGGCAGAGCTCAAATTTTTGTAAAAATCAATATGTCAGCAATCATGCTCTTTATTGGCATTACAGGTA